AAAAAAAAAACAGGGTGAGTGTATTATGCGTGGAGTCCTTTTGCGCGCACTCGCGCCACCATATGCGCTTTATTTATCCTGCGCTCATACAATGCACATCACACACTCCCTTATTTTGCATGCGGCCTAGCTGTTAAAAGGATATATTCACATACATATTTACGTATGTATGTATGTGTTTAGCCATGTGCATATGCATGTCCATATGTGCAAATGTTTATTCAAAAAGGAATTCGGGTGAGGGTTGAAAATTTGAAATTTGGCTCGTGTGGCGTCTGCGGACAGCTGATATTTGTTTTTTCTTATTATCCTGCCGGTAGAATGCGAGAGAGCAAAGCTATGAAAGAGATATCTCACAGTCACATCAGCTCTTTGGCATGATTTACCCAGCAAACACAGTCTCTAACGTTAGAAAAACATTAGATTTTTCATAAGAATTCTACTGTAGTTCTCTAATGTTTCTCAAATCAAAAATCCGGTTAGAAAATTGTGTTAGAAATCGATTAGAGAATGATTCGAAAACACACTAGATATTAGAAACTAGTTACAAGCAAACACGGGCGCAATTTTGATGCAACTTTGAGTCACTGTTTATCTGTACCTCGCTTCCTTGATCAAATTGTTTGGACTACTAGCTGAATTTACACTTACTACGCCTTTTTTGATCACTTTTGACTATATGGGCTTTTTCCGAGATGCAATCGCGACCGCAGAGTTGCGCGAATTATTAAAGTAATCACGTTCGGTGTGAAATTCTATGAGTGTTTTATTAGTTGGGAAGTTGCAACAGTATTGGAAATTTTTCATCAGTGCTGCAGTATTGCCGCTTTCATTACGTACTTTGAACAGGCCCTATTTCTTTGGTTTACTCAATGTTTAATATTTTCTTTAATAAAAGTCTAGCTAGTTATTCAGCAAAAATCATACAAATTCATATTTCAAGCTTAGTACAAAAATTAAAAAAAAAATTCAACAAAATTTCAAACTTTTTATTCAGAATTTTGAAAAAAAGGTTTGGTATGCAGTTCATATCCCATTAAATTTTAGTATGTATAATAAAATGCAAGTTTCAAGTAGCTACGGAATGCCGTTGATTTTCAATCCTCTTTTTTGCTGACGGTGTGGTGCATTTTTCCCATTCAAATTTCGATAACTTATTTAGCAAAAAAAAAAAAATGCCAAAAATCAACGTGAATTTGATCAACTTAACTTAAAAAACTTGCATACCAAAATTTTTTTTCAAAATTCTGAATAAAAAGTTTAAAAGTTAGGTGAAATTTTTTTTAATTTTTATAACTCTAGAAGTAGAAAACTTGCTAAATAACGTTAAGAAAATCCTTGCGTGATATCCATAATTTTTTGAATTTCTGTTGATTTTGTAAGCAAATCCTTCAAAAAATTGCATATTTACCAACAAAAACTGTAGCAGGATGGGAAAAAATCCTCAGTCGAGATCAGGAAAGGTTAGTTGTTCTGAGCGAAACTATCAAAGTACCATTAAATTACACCATAATGGTGAAGTAGACAAAGGAATCAAATATTCTGAATAAACCGTTCCCACGACAGTCGGGTCTACGTAACCAGAAAGGCCGAGAACTGTCACTTCAGCAACATTGCTAAAAAACCCTTTGGGGGTTGATAAAAAGTGTAGTTGACCCATTCCAACGGCGATAAAACCAAACACAAAAATCAGATCATCAAATAAATTTAAGTAATACAAATTAAAATTTTATTCACTTATATGGATTATTTTTCATAAAGTCAAAATTAATATGAAACATTTATATTTATTAAAGTTGCGCATCCACAAATGTACATATCGTTACCTTACACCTTACCTTACGTTCACAAAACTGAGTTTTCACAGATTTTTGTAGGATGTATTAAAATACATCTTTCAATTAAAATTTTAAAGTGTTAGTACCAAAAACAACGGCGTTACATGCCACTTTTTCCATGCTCTTTTTTTATAATGTTTTTAGCCTCCTATCAGTTAAGGTAACGATATGTATTAAATATTATGAATTGGCCTTATTCATAAAAAATAAAATATATATAAAGTGACATTTTCAAGCAAATTTCCGACTTATAAAGCAATTAAAGTATCCTTTATTTTTTATGAATTTAGGCGTATGTGTGTTGAAACATCATACATAATAAAAATAAGTATGTATGCAGTTTTTTTTACTCAAACATTGAGCCTTCATAGCCATTGAAACTTTGTTCATCTTGTGTCGCCATATCGTTATCAATAGGTTCCTCATTTTTTGATTTTGCATTACCTCCTCGCTGATTGCGCATTTTCTTTCTCCATTGATCATGTACATAGTTGAAGAAGCGCATTGTACGTTCCATGAAAAAGGTAGCGTCCATATGATGGAAACGTTGCAGAAAACATTCTGCAAAGCAATTAACAATGATTAAAATGCGATTTAATGCTGACTATTGCTACATCCATATTACGCAAATATGCAGGTAGTTACGTAGTATGCACAAACCTCGGAAAATGTCTGTAAATATGTAATTTTTAATAGCACGTTTTTTGCAACGACCATTTCCCCTGTACGAATAATTTTCAGCAGCGTCATTTTTAAAAACGCTACGCCATATATGTTTTATATATTTATCTGGTTCATCAAAGTGTCCTTGTAGAAGTTCAACCCTCTGCAAATCAAATTGTAAAAAGTTTATTTTCATCTAATGATGAAGAATTCGAAAAATAAAACACACCAATTGATCGCACTGATCTTCGTCGTGTGTGAAGATGGTATTCCAATCTTCGAACTGTTGTGCAGTCTTGAATGGCTGTGTAGGCATAACACGAGCTTGAATACTATAAAAGTCCAAGACAGGCCGACTAACGTTTGCGACATTTTTTATATCAACCGGATCTTTGGGATCTTCCTTATTAGCATCGACCGATTTTTTGGAAGTCGAAGCCTTTTTATCCTTCTTCAGACTGATGCATTCGGTTTCACTGTCGCTGTCGTTGTATTGCTTAAATTTAGTGGGTAGTGGAGAAGGTGCGCTTGGACTGCAGCTGCTTTCCCTTTTCAAAGCTTTGTCAGAGGACATTTGCCCCATACCTTCGGTAACCTCGCGCCTCAAGTCAACAATTTCCTTGTTTAAACGATGAAATAATTTTTCGAAAGTTTGGCGCATATTCAAAAGCTCCTCCATAACTTCATCGCAGCACTTGCAACGTGGATTACCGCTTGGTTTTGGCATTTTTTCTAGGAGAGGATTTAATAAATATTTTAAAATATAAAAAGTTGCAAATGTGTATCCTAATCCTTATGGGTATGAACGTGTACCCTGCCTGGCCAGAGTTATTCTGATTTTAACCGATTTTCCTATAATAAGAATACTGCGAGAAAAATTGATTTTAATTTGTGATTTAAAGAAAACAATCCTGTAAAAAAACGAGCTATGCTAAAATTCCTAACTTGGAAAAAAATAAGACTCTTCAAGCCATGCATATTAAATATAATTTTAAAGCTTGTAAAATAACAAAATTTGTATTAAGGACTTTTGCAACAACTTAATAATGGACAAACTTATGTACTTAGATATGTACAATTCGAAAGGTATTAAAAAAAAAATAAAATACGACGATATGTACATGCATGCAAGCAAGGCGAATAACAAATTCTAAAATTATTATAAAAGAAATTATAAAAAATGTATAAATTCGCCTTGATGCATAGTATATGCATATACATAATCAGGGCTGCCAACTTTTCTCAAACCGTGCCATTTTTGGCCCTATTTTACTTCAAATGGCACTTAATTTTTCAATTTGGCACAAAGTGCCAAAATGGCAGTTTTGAAAAATAGTAATATTTAAATAAATTTTTGTGAAATCCTTTGCGTGTACTTCTTTTTCCCAACTAAAATTGTCTAATTTTTATAGCGTATACAACTGGTATATCTTACTTTGGTATTGGACTTGGGTTTTAGGAGTGTGTTTCTAATTTTAATGCTTAATGGAAAGAATTAATAAGAATGGCACATTTTTGATACTTGTATTTTTCTATTTGGCATAGTTTGGCACTTTTTTATCCTCAATATGGCACTTCATAGCTAAATATTGTTGGCAGCCCTGTACATCATATGTATGCATATAAACACATACATATGTATGTATGTACGTAAATGCATTTACAACTTTTGAATATATAACTAATATCAAAGGGGGAGCACTGGTCCTACCAATAACCTGGTATACTAAAATTCACCATACCCTTCTCTTAACTTAGTTTCAGTATGGTACTGGTAATGCCTTCGAATTTTCCTATATATGCGCATACACATGCACGTATGTATATACATATGTTATGTTGGAACCAATTCCTTTTGATGTCTATACCACAAAAAATTGATACATACATACATATGTAGGTAATTTTAAGAGATAAAGAGACTTCTTCCACCCAAAAAAGTAGGGATTACCGATTTAATTATGTATAAAATTAATTTGCTACACAACTAGTTAATAAATAATTAGATCGCTTTGGCGAAAATTAAGATATTTTCTGTGTTTAGGTATTCACATGTCCCTATTTATGATATGAACACCCACACCTATTCCCTATGCGAGTACACTAATTACTTTTCAACTCAATTTTACACTTCCGCCGTGCAGTAGTTAGTATACCAACTAGTTAATATATTGTTTCTTTCCTCCCATCAAAAGTACAGTTTAATTTTTTTTATCCACAAAAATCTTACCAGTATTGATCGCAAGTAAATGTTGAAATGCCTCAGTTTTTCTTCAGTATTTCTGGATTAATTGCGGAAACTGACAGCAGTTTCTAGTTCTCTATCCTCTTTCATGCGTTCTTTTAGCACAGTTTCAGCGTTGCCAACTAAGCCAGTAATCTGCAGGTACGTTTGTTTACTACACTACCGAAAACTGGTTCTGGTGATTGACAACTCAGTGAGACTCTCTTGTAAGGTACTATAATGTCAAAAAGTATAAACAAACGAATTAACCCTTAGTGATGCATGTATCTTGTCAGCACTGATGCCCTAGGCTTTTATTTCGATTGTAGTTTTGTTTTATTTACATTACATATATTTTGACAATAAAATACAACAAATCGTTTATAAAATCGTTTTAGCAATTTTCTTGTTTTTAATTGCCCAAGTTTCATGCTTTGGTGCGTTTATTTTTATATTTAAATTTTGTATCCTAAACATTATTCGACGCTTATAAAAGTATGAGTTTACATTTGTTTCCAATTTTATATGTGAGCTTAACTCTAACAATTTTGAAATTAAAATTTTTTCATGGGAAATAGTTTTCCATTAAAGACTTTGCCTCAAGCGGTTTTAATTTAAGCTCTTCCATACTTGCTGGCATGGTTTTAATTATTTCGGTAAGCCGAAATATTTATGTTCGCAACGTGCATTCTAAATAGTCGTCTGTTTGAGTTTGGGCTCAACAAGAGATGTATCCTGATCGTGTACTAAATCCTCACTTGGATCAGTTATTTCGCATGGCATTGGGACTGTCCCTGGGTATAAACGAGATCGTTTGAAAGTGCTTGAGTTGGACGGACAACTAATGAAATCACTTTCCTTGAAGTGGTTTACACAAACGTGAGATGAATCAAGTAGTACAACACCACAGCTTTCTTCCCATCGCTGCCGTCTTAAGGCCTGTATGCAGTTCGCAAGAAAAGCTAAAGTTCCATACAAAATGACGTACAAGAAATGGCTAAGAAATTTTCTTATGTCAAATTTCCTTCAGGCAGTACGCAGTTCTTAAGAAATTTGCTACGCTTTTTACTACGGTTTTCTTAAGTTTTGTGTGAAAAAAAAGCACAAGGAAACCCAGGTTTGCAACCTAAATGTATGCTCGTTCCAATATTTCTTGAGGAAAGAGTGAAGCAACAGGCTGTGAAGTATCAAAAACGTCAAAATTCCTTCGACACAAACACGAAATAATTGCAATCTTTTCTTGATCGTTTTCTTGAGAGCTGCATACATTTGTTGCTTGAAAAGTTGTGTAATTTTTTTTTTTACAAATTCAAATTTGAAAAAAACACATATTCAAATGGGTTAACAATTCATTTCAATTTGACATTATAGCCTGTTTCGTATGAGAGCAATGTCAAAATCCATCACACTTTGTTGAATACATTTTGGCTGGGCCCGTATCGTACCATCCGTCGTCGTATAAGCTGAAGGGGATAGAGTACGTTCACGTACCGTCATAATCCGAAAATGTGTTTTTACGTGACGAGTAATACATATAGGCCCGTAGTCATAGTCAAACTAAAGTCGACTTTAAAGTTAGTTGCAGCTTTTTGACATAATTTTCAATGGGATATCTGTCAAAAAAGCTGCAACTAACTTTAAAGTCGACTTGATTTTGACTATGACTACGGGCCATTATCTTAAAAATACAATTGTTATTTCTGTATCAAACTGCACTGATTTCTTACCTGGTGATAACTTACTATGACACAAACTAAATTTTTTGGTATTGCATGAATTACACGATGTAGGGAGACAGAGATGGCACAATCAGCAGTACCGCTACTTTGTTCTGGGCGAATTTGACAGAATCAGCTGAAATTTTAGATTCTTAATTAAAAGTGTGTATACATTTTTTTGGATCGGGTCCACCGTTCGTAAACAGTAGCCCGAAATCATTTGGCAGATCGTGCCTTCCTCGCGATCGCGTGACTTTTATTAGATTTTAACGACACTCATATATTTGTAAATATGTAAAATGTTCGTTACGAAGCAAAATTATCATTTGGTTTCATTTGTGCACTATTTATATACATAAGTAAAATATAATTTTATTTTCTCGCGTTCATTCGATATAAACAAATTTAAAATATGGCGACCTCCATGATTTGACATGAATTATAAAAAAATAAATTCACCACAGCGAGCTAAGGTTGGCAACGCTGATAGAATGCCTGATTAAAAAGAAAAAAAGAGGAGAATGTCATCTCACGAAAAGCGTCAAGAGAGTGTAAATGAAAAACAGACGGAGATTCCGAGCGTATTTTAAAAACAAAACTAGTCCGCCAAAACAAAGATTATTATTTAAAAGATAGTGCCTCGACTTCGACGAAAAAAGTGGATATATAAAAGGTAAAAACATACAATACAATATGTATAGATATACATACATACATACATATGCAGCCCACAGAAAGCGCAAAAGCAACAATAGCTTAGGCACATTATTAACAATTCTTCTTCAATTTATGTGTGTATTCTAAGTCTAAATTGCTAATTTAAATGTACACATATACGCATCACTTAGTCTACGCATTTAAGTACATACTTACGTGATTCACACACGCTTATATATATATACATACATAAATAGATATACTTTTGCCTATGAATTATTGATTGAAGTTATTGCCTTTTCATTCACTTTAGCTAAAATGTCTGATACAGACACTATAACACGCTGTAATTGTTGTAATGAAGTCATGGACGAGCTGCTAACAATGCGGCAATGCTTTGAGAAGTTATTTCATCGATTAAGAAAAGAAATAGTAGGCCTTAGACGTGAGGTTATCGAAGCTTTGGAAAGCAAATGGGAGCCAAAAGTAATTCCATCTTCTTCGGAATCATCAAAAGTGGTAAAACCTTCCTCTGATCGACAAGCTACAGATGGTCACGAGACGATACATGAGATTGAGTTAAACAATAGTGGCACAGATAATGAAAGCGTAAAATCAAAGAAAGTTAAAAAATCAGGTACTTCCAAGCCAGAAACTAATCAATGCCAAAAGGAAAGTGTAGGGCCGAATGTGTCATATAGTGTGGCCAACCCACGACCAGTTTTAGATTTTTTCAGCATACAAGCGCGAGTTCTGCCCACACAACCATTTAGAGAAGCGCAGCAATTTGAAGATTGGAATATACTTCTGCGAAACGATGAGGATCAGCGTGATCAATTGGTGCGTATATCTTGCTATGTTTTATTATAAAATGTAATCACTAGGGGTATTCTCGAAGTCTGGGAAAGCCCTTGTACGGTGCACGGATTGCATAGTAAAAACCGGTTCTCCCATGGCATAGCCTTGCAAACCGTGCACCATGCAAGGGCTTTTCAAGACTTCGAGAATACCCCTACCAGCATAAACTATGTTCATACATACATAGTACGTATGTATCTATTTATACAAATATGTGTTTACATATGCAATACTTAGCGCGTGGAGCTAATGCAAGGAAGCTGCAAAGAACCAGAAAAGTATATCCTTCAAACATGGCGTAATATTTTTCACAATGATGCTGCTCACCATTATTCATACAGGGGAACTGGACGGGACAAACGTGCAATAAAGGATTATATATTTACGGACATTTTTAAAGGTAAGAATGGCTAGAAATACTACATATCGTCACCTGGAAGGCAACATAGTGTAAAAAACAAAAAGTCCGAAATTCACTTTCTGATTGATTATATTGTTTTATTAAATTACCCCCAAATTGTTTTATCTAAAAAAAATTTGTTAGTTACAGTTTTTGCCATTTTAGGGGACGATATGTACATGTATAATATAAAAGTGCATTACTAAAAAAATTTTTTTGCAGAGATCTTCCTACAACGCTTTTATCACATGGATACAGAATTTTTCATAGACCGAACAATGCGCTACTTTAAATATGTACGCGACCAAAGGCGAAAAGCGGCAATAAGGCAAAGAAAACTTCAAGAAAAGGATGCAGAAATAGTGAGCGAAGCTCTACAAGACTCGATGGATGACCAATAAAAATTGTATGCTTATACATATTATGAAAAGCTTGCCATAGTTAAAAAACATACCAATTTGATTTTAAACATTAATATACATACCTGATTTTAATTGATATTATATAGTTTTTACAATCTGTTTTTGTATGTCAAATAATGCATATATATAATAAATTTTGCAGTCTAGTATTTTTAATACACTGCATGTATTCTCAAAAGTGTATGACTGAATATTATTTAATTATAGATTAATATCGAATTGATGACTTGTGAAGTATACCTATTTGACCATGTGTTTGATTACTCCCATTTGTGATATGTACTACAAAACCGAAAGCCTTAACCTAAGGAATTACGCTAAATAATTAAGATGCTTACGTCGTGCCATCTTTTAATACAGTGCCAGAGATTTTTTAACCATTAATCGTCCGATAATAATCTCATTGCACTTTAAACAAAAAAATTAGATTCTGATATAAAAATCCACCTAAGACTTAACCGTCAACGGTGATACTAATGCTGACCTTGTATAACGCTGGACAGAAGGATTTACTATTAAATTGCAAAGTCAGAATTAACATCACTTATGAAAGGTGAGTCCCAAATTGGTTCTAACATCACAAAGTAGTTTTTGTGAAAATTGCAGATAGAGGGTATTGAATATAAGCACTCGATATGTAAATATATGTATGTATGTTTGCTACTAGAGATCTTGAAAATATTGTATGAAGACTGCGTTAATCTTTCTAATTCATCCTTTTTAAACTGCAAAGGAGTATTATAAATAGAAAAAAAACCAAAGAGCTTTTCAGTCTTGGGGTACGGTCTTTAGATACATATACATATATGTATTTAATCAACCTATACCTACATTTGCGCTGGGAATAAATATGCTTGAATATTATTAACGAAAAAGTACACATGCACTAACATAGTTATAAACATATAAAAATATACGCATTGGTCAGAAAAAATTACTCACCAAATTTACTAAATATTTGACCAGCTCTCTGTTGTGTATATCATTTGTTGCAGCTAGTAGCCGTTTGGCATGATCCAATCTGGCGGCGTAGTAAATAGTTATAAGCAGAGGCGCATTTACTTTTTCCCCCGGAAAACGGAGCTGAACCTCATCTGCTAGTTCTTCCATCATCGCGATCGACAGTGCATGCACCTCGTTGCACATAGAACAAAAATATCACTTGGGCTTAAGAAATTTATTGACACCCAAAAGAAAATTCTAAATTTTCCTTTGATATTTTCACTGTTCTTGTTTTGATATTTCCCAAATTCACATGTAGTTTAACACCTTGGTATTTATTTGCGAATTTAACGCTGTATAATACTAAATTACACGCACTTATTATTCTATTTTGATCCCTTCCACCCACTTTTCAGCACATTTTCCACAATGATTTTTCGAGTGCAGCTGTTTGGAAACTGAAAAAATTGGGAAAAATTTGTTCACAGAATTTGCTCAGCTGATTCGGCGTAGAGTTGCCAATAGCAAGAAATGTCAAAAGTTACAGTGAAAAGCGATAGTATTCATACAACACTTGCACTGTATTGATCGATGGAAAATAACCAGTTAGAGGGTAAAGAAGAGGGAAGAGAGTAAAAATTAATTCTACTCTAAAGTTAAAATAAGATTTTATCTGCTTTTCTCTTTAGAGTCGACTTTTTTTGACTATATCCACTGGGCAATAAGTTCAATAATTTTACGATAACACTTGAAGCTTGATGAAGACATACATATCTCCAAATGCAAGTTATTGAAATATTAATAAAACATTTTACACTTTAGGCTTCCATATTGTGGGTGTTCATAAATAATCACAACCAGATAACCAGGCAGGTGTGACAGCAACTGAGAATAATAAAATAGCAACATACGTGTTATGGCGATACAAACATTCCACCATATATCCCGTTAATTAAAACGACGAGTTGCTAAGCTTATAATAAATAAGTTATTTTATTAAGACAATTATTGAATGCAATTAACCGACTTCAAAAAAGGAGGAGGTTATCAGTTCGTCGGAATATTATTCTTATATTTTTTTTTAATTCTATTAGGTTTTTGTGAATCACATGAGGAAGGCAGTTTTTACTATGGACTTTTGTAACAAATTATAAAAGATTGCTTAGCTCTCGCTGAGTCATTGCATATTTTGTCCATAATATAAAAATGAAAGTTGTGTTAATGAATACACTTTTGTAGAATGTTTAAACTATGTATGTATGAACATGGATTACGTACATATGCATTCATTTAACTATAAAATATGTAATTCAGATATCCAATGAAACTAAATTACTTCCTTTGCACTGCAAAACGCTCGTGTTATTTCATATATTTAATCCATGCCTAAACTTCTTTTCGCAGCAAGTATTTTCCAATCCTGCACTTCAATTTGACGTTTGATGAGTTCCAGATTCCTTTCCATTTCAATTTTTTTAAGGCGTTCCATTTCTAAATGGTGGCGCTTTGTTTCAAATAACAATCTGTCTTGACTCCCTCTTAAACTTTCGATTGATGCCTTCAAATCTTTTAGCTGACGTTGGACTTCATTGTATTGATTGCCGCTCAGTTCTGGGCCACTAACAAAGTTATTAATCATTTCATTTTGGACATTAAACTCCATGGCCAATAAGTCATTGGGATTGATTTCAAATTCATTTGCACGACTTCTCTTATGTATTGGTGTAGTACTTGCGGGTCTACTTTGACCGATGTATTCGCAAACAGATGAATTCTCTTGAAAACTATCTTCTTGTTCAAATGGTTCTTCTTTAAAAACTTTGAAAGTTACATTTGTATCTCCCTCAATCTCAGAGGGAGTATTCTTTTGAATCATGTCTGATTTGTTGTCTTCAACAGGCATTGCCAAGTTCAGAATTGACTGCTCCAATGCGGAAAAAATATATATCTTACCTCCATCGTTGTTCTTTCTATTTTGTGCATTTAAAATAGCCTTCTTCCGCACATACCGTTTTTGGTCAATCCATACCTAAAATAAATACCGACTATTAAACAGATTATGTACAGCAGATCTTTACATAAACGCCGGACCAGTGCACCACATGCATATATACATATGTACATCTAAATACATATGCATGTGGACAGCACAGTGGTCGTGCGGCCAACTACCTTTTTCCATTCAAAGATCGATTTTATTGGCGGCCCCAAGCTATTTAAGTAATTATTCAAATCCTTCCAGAATTGCTGGGTCTTTTCCTTGTTTTTCTTCTGAAAACTTCTGCCTATATCAGCATTTTCCACCATTGCATTTACCAAAGCGTTCAGCTGCGTTTTATTAATGGACCTTTAATAAATATAAACACACAGTTAAAACAGGAGGCAATTCAAAAATAAAATATTCTTACATTTTTTGAAGATTTGGAGTTTTGTGAAGAAAATAGCAATTTCGTGTGAATTTATTTGCGTTTACAGCAAAAGGAATTTTTCTAACTTTGAATGTGTGTGGGAAAAAGACCCTGGGAAATTCAAAATAGGGAACTTTTTCATGGGAAATGGCATTCAAATCAATTGGTGTTAAGCGTTACCATACTGCGGAAAAATCGAATGCCACATTGATGCCACATAGCTCAAGCAATTTACGAATTTAATTTTAATTTTTGTGAACTAATTCATTCTTTTGTCTAAAAAAATTCATGTAAATACACAAAAGTAAGAGAAAGCGAAAGGCATAAAATAAAAAAATGGTTCCACCTTTTCGCAAGATTTTCAGAGAGGCATTCACTTAATGGCATCACCATGCGTAAAGGGGATTTTATCAGATGACTGTCAAACTTCGGCTATGTTTCTACTTCTCCAGCGGAAATTGCCAAAGAGGAAATGGGATATTCTAAAATTTAAACACCGGAAATAAAAAGATACTATTTAAAAGCTAATCAATATTAAAATAATTCGAGGAAACGCAGCCTTATACAGGACATCATTATAATTTGTTATATTCATTTTATGTATAAATGAACGCAAAAACTATTTTTAATTTGGACACCGTTTGAACACAACAATTATAAACATGCCAACATTCGAGCTTCCGTAATACGCACAAGAGATTCCATTTTTAATCTATTGCACAGAGCTAAGATTTGGCCAACACAATGATTTTACTTTAAAAAAATTACGGTGCTTTTTACTTTTCTTGGTGAATAGTATGTATGTATATGGACTGCATAAAACCTTACCATTCCCGGATAATATCTTGTAAAATTTATACCTTGGGCTAGTTTTGTATGTACTAATGATCCTGATGCATTTTATTGATGAAGCAATACTTTTCAGAAAAAAGACAAGGAAAAGACCTAGCAATTCTGGATGGATTTGAATAATACGCTACAATTCCCTAAATAGCTTGGGACCACCAATAAAATCGATGTTTGAATGGCAAAAGGTAGTTGGTTGCAAGGTTACTGTGCTGTATGTATATTATTTATATACATACACACATGTGTCGTGCCGTCATAGAGTACACGCACTGGATTGGCATTTATGTAAATATTTGCTGTGTATAATTATTGTACCACTCGCATTCATATGTTTAAACGCATTGTAACGGATTTCCTTGACTTCAAATCATAATAATACTTGGTCGACGACATGAATGACAAAGTATCCTACGTTCCCACGACAGTCGGGTCTACGTAACCGGAACGACCCAGATTTATATCTGGCCAAGGACTGTCACTCCAGCAACACTCCCCAAAAAGTCTTTGGGGAATTTGTATGCTGCTACAACAACAACAACAAAGTATCCTACTTTTGTAAGATCACAACAACGGACTTGCTAGACGCATGCAGATTTTTTAGACCGTTGCAGCAACAAAAGGAAAATGCAATGGGTATAATTCTTTCCATTTCAAACGGGCACTAAAAGATTTTGATTAAATCTGATTTTTGAATTTTTATTTCAAATAAAGTACACAAAGCCACAACAGAAATTAGCAAAAAAANACGGGCACTAAAAGATTTTGATTAAATCTGATTTTTGAATTTTTATTTCAAATAAAGTACACAAAGCCACAACAGAAATTAGCAAAAAAAATTTTTAACAGAAACAATACAAAAAATATTACGAATATTTAGTTTTTTTAGTCAGAGCTCGGTAGTTTTGTGGAGCATACATCGAAAAAATGCAGTGCAATTCGCTGTGAATTCATTCGTTTAAGCGAAGTTAAGTGCAATAGNAATTTTTAACAGAAACAATACAAAAAATATTACGAATATTTAGTTTTTTTTAGTCAGAACTCGGTAGTTTTGTGGAGCATACATCGAAAAAATGCAGTGCAATTCGCTGTGAATTCATTCGTTTAAGCGGAAAAGTGCAATAACATTTCGGTGTGTGTAAAAAGAATTGTTGTTGCGTTTTAACTATGAGTTTCCACGAGTATTGCAATGCAAATACGAGAACAATAAAGAGCAAATCAGTAATTTTATGTATGTATGTATGTAAATCTGCTATGCCTATTTTTTATACATGCTCTTGTTTTTAGCGCATAGATAATGGATCTACTGATCCGTGGAAATTTAACAAATAGGTATTTTATCATTCGCATTTAAATGCCCTGTTATTCAAGTGTTGCTGTAAAAGATATTATAGTTTCATTTTTTTTATTTTTTGTTTAGAGTTCATATTTAAATTTAAATGAAATCTAGCACTAAGCTGTAATAAAACAATATGGGTTAGGTTGTGAGTTAGCTCTGAAATTCCTTAATTTCAGAACAATACTAATTGAGTAAATATAAGTAATGTATCCTCACTGCCAAATATTGTTCCGTTTTTATATTTTAAAGATAAATCAATAATATTTGCGTGGCTCTAGTCATGGATGTTGACTTGCGAGGTTTGTTAATAAACTAAACAAAAATTCTGCTCTATCCTGCGAGGCCTATTGCTAAAAAAAAGTGTACGTGCAAATCACGATTAGATTAGTCAGTCACTTCGACAGAATCACGCTTCATTGAGACGACCGCAGATATGTACATGTGTATTCATGTTATTGTTAAATTATTTAATTTTGTTTGCATTGTTGCAACAAATCAATCCTTTTTACTGGCATTGATGGCAGTCTTCTCATATAAGCACTATATAGATTTCATTGTTGCTGCATTTCCAATGTATGTTGCGTTGCGTACGCAAAAATTTCGTTAAATTTCAAATCAAACAAATTAATTTTTTCAGTCACTAGAATTTCGGACAAGGAGTTAGTTTACACAATCGGCGAAAACGTTTAGTTTTCCTTTTTTCAAATTTCATGTTCCATGGTAAATTCTCTTCTTATCATCATTACTCCTCGTTCTTGATTGAGTTGAACGTTTCTTTCATTTTTCATTTTTCCATAACTGCAACGCACCAATCCAATTTTAGTCGATTGCAGAGCTAATCCCTGAGTTTTTTCATTTTGAGTTTAAGCTAAAACTGGTAAATGGTAATTTATATAACTAAATGCTTACAGAAATATGAAGTAATTGAAAACTGAGAAAACTTTCAAACTTGTGTTTGTTTACTGTGTAAAAAGCGCGGTTTATTTTCTGGAAATTCTGAAAGTAATCATCATTGAATGAGTCTTCTAGCAATTTAAATGCTTTTTTCTGAGATGAGAGATCGAGCCCTAACCGCCAAAAAGATATAAGCGACATTTTTTCAAACTTTTCTTGATGCAGAGTGCATCTAGATCGGCTGACTTCCTAAATGCATCAATGCAAAGCATCAGTCTTCCTTGGTTTCTAAACTATAATTGATGGAAATGTATAATATGCGCAACCACGTCCAAATGCCAAATTGGAACTTAGTTGTGCGAATTGGACATTTGTATCAATTATGTATTGATGCATTTAGGAAGTCAATCATGCTCTAGGAAAATGTCTGCACCAAAAATTAAAATTTGTAAAAATATTTCTCTTACATCTTTTTGGCGGTTCGGGCTCGATATGTATGAAATTTCAAGAGTTCTAAGTGTCGTGCTATGAAAATAAGTAATGCATCATCGTCATCATTCCCAAAGGTTTCAGTTGAAGACTTCGAAAATATATCATTTCTCGATATTCTTAGTTTCCTCGAATTTAAGACTACAAGAATCTTAAAAACAATATTTTAAGACAAATGAGAAGAATCTGAAAGCTTACAATATTATAATTTTAAAGGTATTTTTCGCTTCAAATTTATCACTGACAAACCTTTGAGATGACCACGATATGAATATGTATGTTTATGTAAGTTATGTTGGGAAAAATACTATGTTTATTTATTTCTTACATATGTGCATTTACAACATTTCAGTGTACAATTTAATAATACATAAACAGCAGTTTAAGAATTATAAAACAAACTTTAAAGCGCACCTTTTAAAAATTCAAAACTCCAATTTGTGCAAATAAGCATAGCTCTCCGAATTCTTATAGAATCCTTGAAGACGTCAAACTAGAGTGTAGCCAATATTTGCTGAACAATGTACTCAACTCTAGTAAAACTACTAAATAAATTATTACAGTACGTCTAGATTTTTTTGAAAGCGTTCGCAATACATAACAAAAGCGTAATAATACACTATATAATTTACATATTTATGAACATATGTCGGTATGTTGTATTGTAAGAAAGCAAAATAAAATAATAATTATTAATGACTTCAAAATAATCAAATAATGTTAATAATAATAATGTTCGACAAATGTACTCGTTTAGTTTATATTGTAGTTCTGTTGCGGATAAATGTTATATATTTTTACGTATATGTAATTTTAGGTGAATATGAATGCAATACGTAAAATAAATAATTCAAATTCTGCTCAACTTGTTGATCAGTAAATAATTAAGATGTTTCTTTGAATTCAAATTCGATACGTTTGTGAAACAAAAATATTACNAGTTTAGTTTATATTGTAGTTCTGTTGCTGATAAATGTTATATATTTTTACGTATATGTAATTTTAGGTGAATATGAATGCAATACGTAAAATGAATAATTCAAATTCTGCTCAACTTGTTGATCAGTAAATAATTATGATGTTTCTTTGAATTCAAATTCGATACGTTTGTGAAACAAAAATATTACATAAAAATATTACTTGTTTTTTTTTTGTGCTACAACAGCGTCCGCCTTTATTTGTTTTTGATAAGGCACTGTCATTGCTTAATTTGCTGCTGTTGCTGTTGCCGTTACTTTTGTAGTCTCGACGGCGCTATGCTGTGGCTGTGTTCTTAATGAGTTATTGCGNCTTTTGTGCTACAACAGCGTCCGCCTTTATTTGTTTTTGATAAGGCCTTGTCGTTGCTTAATTTGCTGCTGTTGCTGTTGCCGTTACTTTCGTAGTCTCGACGGCGCTATGCTGTGGCTGTGTTCTTAATGAGTTATTGCGCGATCGTGGATTACGCTTGCCGCGCTGGGGCTTGCCACCGGTTGGCGGAGATGGCGATTTGGTGGTAGAATCGGGCAGCTGTCCAGCCGCAGCCTGTTTGTCGCCACCAGCTCCTTGCTCGCTACCAGGACGAGCGCTGTTGCTACCCTCGTTCTTTACGTTGCGTACTAATTGTTTAATATGATTATTTTATTGGAATATACAACTAACTAAATGATTATTTTCTATTACCTCCGCGCCTATTTCGGCGACGATTGTTGTTTTTGACAATCGGCTTAATAGTCGTCTTTGCTGGATCGAAGTAACTGTCAAATAAATCGGCCAGCTCCGTCTTATCTTCAGGTTTCAGCTCTTCAATTACGTGCAGAACTTCGATCAAGCCATTCTTTTGTTTCTCGCTCCAAATTGCATTAAGGGTTTGCAGATCATAGCCTTGCTCAGCTAAAATGATGCGGAATTTAACAGCACGCACCCGATGATAGAGAGTTGTTTTGAAGTAGTTCAAAAACACAGGACGGAACGAGTTTTGGCGCTCCAAGTTCTCGTTTTGACTCTGCAATTCATTCAAATCGCATTCGATGGGTTGTGCATACGTTTGTACAGCGGCAAGCAGATTCTCCAATGCAGCGGATGAGTCTAGCGGCAACTTGTGTTCCTCGTTACTTAACTGCAATGCTACTTCGTATGCTAACTTGGCACGTACACTAGCACTGCCGTCGAACAACTCACGCTCGTGTGCCGGTACACCTTTGTTCAATGGTTTTTGAGGGATCTGGCCCTCAGTGTTGCCAGTTGTTGAGCTGACATTGTTATTTGCTTCTCCCTCAGATGCGTTATTGTTAACTTCATGCGCCTTGCTACTCAACACTTTGGAGAGTTTACGCAACGTGTAATGTTGCAATGATTCATTGTTATTGGCTTTGGCCAAAGTTAGACCATTGGCAAAAGATTTGACTGTGTTAAGGAACCTGTCCAGCAGGTTGTACTTTTTAAGCGATTCCAAAATCATATATGGAATGAATTTGCGTTCCTCATGATAGACTAGAATTACACCTAGCGATGCTGCATCTTTGGCTTTAAGCGCTTCCAGCCAATCAAGAAAATCTTTCAAGGCAGCGATTTCCGACTTGGACTTGATAATCTAAAGTCAATATTGAACGTAAAAAAATAATGCATACAAAATATGTTTAAATCAATCAAATATATGCAAAAAGTAAATGCAGAAAGTATGGAGAACCAAGTTGTACATGCACATATAAATTTATTAAAGACGCTTTATTATTTCTTACCTTATAGGTTTGCATTGATTTCAACATACGATAGAATCCAATAGAGATCACTCGCACTTGGTGGCGTTGACGAGCAGCAGGATTCAAATTCATGTATGGCATGATATACTGTTCAAAATGATCTTTTGGTGTATAGGCGGCCAATTGTACGATCTGAGAAAGAAATTAAAACACCAGAAATTCGTAATTTCAAAACTAGAATTCTGCTATTTTTTCTTGCTTGTTAAAGAAAAATATATATATTAAAGGCCAATGACTTTTAGTGCAGCAGAACAAATCGACGAATATGATAACAAATACCTAGTCAAGAGAAATAAATTCAGTTATATATGCAAAAACAAAATAGTAAGCCGCCAAATTCCTGAATACAAGTACATGACTTCATAACAGTAAAGCGGATTAGATGCTAAGCGGATGCATTAGTTTTTGTTGTTGTTGAGCTCTTTCTCTTTAATGTGCGCATGCCAACAGGTTTTTTTTTTTTTGTGCATATGCACTTGGGAAATCAGAAAGAAAAACTGTAGTAATTTTAAGGGAGCGCGCATTGGCATTATGTGATTTAAAAAAAGCGCCATAATTTTATACGAAAATCGGTGATAAAAAAATCAATGAAAAAAATTTAAAATGCACATAAACTTATTATGTATGTAAAATACAGACCTGACTGTAGTTAATTTTTTACTCACATGTATGTATGCATACTTACTTCATCGATGAGGCGACGTCCCGTTGTGTCAATATCGATGCCCACCAAAGTTATTTGCCCTTGGCCAAAGTCTTGCTGGCGTTAGCTGCATTGATTATGCCATTGCTTATTACTCCATTAGCGACGGCACCCGCGGGAGTATTGACTACACCATCTTGACTTGCATTCGTTGAAGCGACCATTTTGTAAAAACTCCCAATAAAAATAATCCAAGCGAAATCGGAATAATTCGACTAGTTAAATGCGCTGAAAGTAGGCAAGGTCGAAATTTTTGAAAAAAGACCTTATAAAAAAACGTAAAATGGCCTACAAATCGAAATTTCAAGAGATTTCAAAAATCGTTAAAACAAATTTTCGTGAAACGAAACTAATTACGCTAATGTTGCATTCGATTTTTGTAGATTTACGCTCAATACCATTGCAATTGGCTTTAGCATTCCCAATTTCTTTCATATATTTTACCTAAAGCAGCTGAACTCCTTTTTCTTTGCTAACAAAACGAACTTTTCTGAACGAACTAAATGGAATTTTTTTTAAATTTCGATATCGCCTCACAAAAGACAATTAATCCTGTGAATATAGAAAGAACCTGAATTTAGCAAGTGGTTTTTCTTAACAACTCATAAAATTTGAATATAAATGCAAAACGATATTATAATGAATTCTCCAAAGTGGAGTAGTGCATCACTTCTTTTCTTGTATGCTTTAAAATAATGAATATTCCCACTAGTATAACTTTACAGTTGGTAAGTAGAATCGATTTGATAGTTTATTTATACGCGTACCGCGCAGCTTGAATTTCACGGACCAAATAAACCAGCGGCTGCTGGTGTCAGGCGTTCGAAGTCTCGTGGCAATTCGAAACGGAAGTACACGATCATAGTCTTTGAACAATCGTTTGCGCGAATGCAGGTAAGGATGAGGGCAAAAGTAGAACAATTAGATGGTTGGATAGGTTTCTTGAGTGCTTCTATTCTTTGCTTAGAACTCGCTCGCTCAATACGGTACAATTCTCAGAGAACTTAGCGACAAATCTATGCAGGTCACTGCTGCCCTCTAATCTTGGCTGATATCTTACTACTTCTTACTTACTTCAGTTTCTCTAATTGCAGCATGCAGATTTTCACTGTACGGAACGGCTAAGATTTGGATAGTGAATTTTAGTTGCTTCAGGCTCCCTTTTACTGTTTATACACAAGTATGAACTATTTTAGAATTGCCGAATCTTTGACTTTTCCAGCGCGTAAAGGTTGTTAACATTGGGCGTGTATAAACTAAGCGGCTGTGGCAACTGGATGGTGTGGCGTCAGACGTGAACGCACCAATAAACGAAAAAATTCGTGCCAGACACAAAAACTAAATGATAGCTGATTTTAAGCGTATTTGTGTGCATTTGTATCTAGCAACCCCACCACCAAGGAAGATTTGTTTGGAAAATTAGAGCAAACCGACGTGACCTGCTGAGCTTGATTGCTGTTGGTTCGAATATTTTATTATCATGCACCAGTACGTGACATCAAATGTTTTTTAATCATTTATTCAAGTTCTTCCTTGCACAAGAGACGGTATGCATTGGGCCGCCAGACATTCTTACCAAGTATCAAGCACCAGTAATTTTTCACAGCTAGGTTAATGCCAATATGAAAATCATTTCCAATGGTATTGCCATCAATACTAACCTGTACCGGGGAAAAGCAACGTAGTATTGAAAGTTACTTCCGTTAAGCTATGCGAATTTCAATAAAACACTTTTAAATGCAATATTTTGATGCAGCCGTCACTATTTTCTGGGCCACGATGCCAATAACCACAAACATCAAAAGTTGGTCAGAAAATTTTCTTATTCTAAAAACGGCTGCGCACCACACTTACAAAGCTGATAAGAAGCAGGGTTCGGATGCCTAAATGATTCAAAAGACGGAGTAAAAATAAAGCCCTTGAAAAGCTCAATGTGATTGTTCACACTTGCCTGGTTATCAGATTATCTGATTAAAAATATTTTTTCTGTTGATGTACAACAATAAAATACACTACAGAAAAATTAATTTAAACCAGATAACCTGATAACCAGGCAGGCGTGACCAACCACAATCCTGGGATTCCCTTAAAGCCGTTAAGTTTTAAACCGTGTAAAACTCGTAAGTTTAGGAGATTTTTATGTGGACGCCCCCTTCGTGAAAGAAGAAGCCATTTGGAATAACAATTGAGAAAAAAGTGTGTGACGATCGTAATTTTGAAGTTTGCTATTT